GTGATGGAGCAAGTAACGGAGGGGTGTGGATGGTGCGGGGGCTGGGGCAGGCAGAACGCCGTATCTTTTATCACGGTTTTCCCAGGCCACCAAATGGCGACGCTGCATATGCTGACGCAAGCTGTAGTCCCAAAATGGGCCCCTGGCCACGCTTGACTTTCTGGCCACATAGTCGACATACGGCTACGTTTACTTCCTCGGGCGGCTCCTTGACGAAAAAATTGCCACACCGCCATCCGAGTAGGAAACTTTGCCCCGATACTCCTCACTGGATGACTGCTACTTCCTCACTGTGCACACCGGCACCAATACTGGCCGTTGTGGTGGTAGGCTGCAGTGGAGCTGGTGCTCTACTCCGTGGCCGTTTGCCTCTCCACTGACACTGCCTGCGACTGCGACCCTGCTGCCTCTGGGCAACCCACCGACTGTTTTGCTCGCTGCCAAGCTGGCACCCTCCTTCTCTGATGATGCGGAAGCAATAGCCTGATGACGACAAAAGGCTGCCAAGTGCGATCAGCTCATCATCATCAATTAGGGTCTCCGCCTCACTACTAGCCCCTCGGCTGCGTGTGGGTCAGGAGACAGACCTGTCTCTAGACGGCTACCGAGCCCACTGTCTCTCGCCATACTTCTTCGCCTGGCTGCTGAAGAGGCGGATGTCTCCCCGTTCCTGACCGCCCTCTGTTAGCTCTTCCTCACTGTACAGTGGGGCTGAGCCTCACAGCATGCGATACTTCACTTGGTGAGGGAACACCAAAGGACACAGGGGGCAGGTAGAGGACACGTGATTTCAGTGGGGCTTGCTCCTCGGGCCATGCCAACTAACGGTTGTGTTCTGACGTACCCCACCGACCGTTGGCTGTAGGTGTCAGAGGTGACCTGGGAAAGAGGAAGGACGAACGAGCCAACAATCGATGACGGCGAGGGTTGTCGGTGGGAGACTGCGGACCACCTGGATGACACGGGAGCACTGGCTTGGCTGCGACTAGTGCTGCCTCGACCCCTTCTCTGCTGCCACGTCTGCTCGCTCCTAAAACATTGCCCTCCTCTGCCTCTCTGATGCATGTTGTCAGACATACTCTTTAATTCAACGATTCTGTGTCCCTGAGTAACAATTCTGTGTCTGTCCCTGATAAACAAATTCTGTGTCTGTCCATGAGTAACAATTCTGTGTATGTCCCTGAGTTAACAAATTCTGTGTCCCTCAGTAACAATTCTGTGTCCCTCAGTAACAATTCTGTGTCCCTCTGTAACAATTCTGTGTTACAATTCTGTGTCTCTCAGTAAGCTCATTCTGTGTCTGTCCCTCAGTAACAATTCTGTGTCCCTCAGTAACAATTCTGTGTCTGTCCATGAGTAACAATTCTGTGTCCACTCAGTAACAATTCTGTGTCTGTCCTGAGTAAACAATTCTGTGTCCATCCTGAGTAAACAATTCTGTGTCCCTCAGTAACAATTCTGTGATCTGTCCCCTAGTAACAATTCTGTGTCCCTGTCCTATTCTGATGTCCCTCAGTAACACCTATTCTGTGTCTGTCCTCAGTAACAATTCTGTGTCATGTCCCTGATGTATCAATTCTGTGTCCCTCAGTAACAATTCTGTGTCCCTCAGTAACAATTCTGTGTCTGTCCCTGAGTAACGAAATTCTGTGTCTGTCTCTGAGTAACAATTCTGTGTCCTCAGTAACAATTCTGTGTCTGTCCCTTCTGAGTAACAATTCTGTGTCCCCTGGAGTATACTATTCTGTGTCTGTCCCTGAGTAACATTTCTGTGTCCCTCAGTAACAATTCTGTCTGTCCATGAGTAACAATTCTGTGTCCTGTCCCTGGTGACTCAGTAACAATCTGTGTCTGTCCTCAGTAACAATTCTGTGTCTTGTCCTCTGAGTTAACAATTCTGTGTCTGTCCCTCAGTAACATTCTGTGTCCCTCAGTAACAATTCTGTGTCTGTCCCTCAGTAACAATTCTGTGTTGAGGGTCCCTGAGTAACAATCCAGTAGTAAATTCTGTGTCCCTCAGTAACAATTCTGTGTCCCTCAGTAACAATTCTGTGTGTCCCTGTCATGTAGTAAAACAATTCTCTGTGTCCCTCAGTAACAATTCTGTGTCCCTCAGTAACAATTCTGTGTCCCTCTCAGTAAACAATTTCTGTGTCCCTCTGAGTAAACAATTCTGTCTGTCCTCAGTAACAATTCTGTGTCCATCCAGTAACAATTCTGTGTCTGTCCCTCAGTAACAATTCTGTGTCTGTCCTCAGTAACAATTCTGTGTCTGTCCTGAGTAACAATTCTGTGTCTGTCCCTCAGTAACAATTCTGTGTCTGTCCCTGAGTAACAATTCTGTGTCTGTCCCTGAGTAACAATTCTGTGTCTGTCCCTGGAGTAACAATTCTGTGTCCTGTCCCTGGTGAGTAACAATTCTGTGGTCCCTCAGTAACAATTCTGTGTCCCTCAGTAACAATTCTGTGTCTGTCCCTGAGTAACAATTCTGTGTCTGTCCCTGAGTACACTTCTGTGTCTGTCTGAGTAAACAATTCTGTGTCTGTCCCTCAGTAACAATTCTGTGTCCCTCAGTAACAATTCTGTGTCCTCAGTAACAATTCTGTGTCTGTCCCTGAGTAACATTTCTGTGTCTGTCCCTGAGTAACAATTCTGTGTCTGTCCCTGAGTAACAATTCTGTGTCTGTCCTGAGTACAATTTGTGTCTGTCCCTGAGTAACCACATTCTGTGTCCCTCAGTAACAATTCTGTGTCCCTCAGTAACAATTCTGTGTCTGTCCTCAGTAACAATTCTGTGTCTGTCCCTGAGTAACAATTCTGTGTCTGTCCCTTTTGAGTAACGGTTCTGTGTTCCCTAAGTTTTAACGGTTCTGTGTCCCTAAGTAACGGTTCTGTGTCCCTAAGTAACGTTTCTGTGTCCCTAAGTAACGGTTCTGTGTCCCTAAGTAACGATTCTGTGTCCCTAAGTAACGGTTCTGTGTCCCCTAATACAGAGAGGTCTGTCTCTCTTGAATGACCAGAGGCAAATGGAGAATTGTAAGATGGCGCGCAATTTATAGCTCCACCATTACACAGTGCTGGCTGGCTGCTGATTGGCTAATGCGATCACATGTCATGAATGAATGCATTATGGGTCAGCGCGCCTTGTCTGCGCGCCTTCCCAGAGATCCCCGCTCCGTCGCCGCACATGTCGCCGCCATTTTTGGGAAAAATTTCGATTCGCGGATTCGGCGGCGCGAATCGAAATTTTCCTAATATTCGAAACGAATTCCACTTCACCGAGTTCGATTCGCTCATCTCTAGATATGTCCTTAAAGTGATCAGCTCATCACATTTTGAGCATCAAAATGTAAAAAAAAAATAATAAATAAACACACACACATAAAGTGCTCAAGTACATCACTTAAAAAGTGACAGCACAATAAAGTGTTTCACACTCTTAGGGGTTTATTTACTAAACCTGGTTGACTCAGAATCTTGTCCACTTCTGCATAAAAACCAATCAGCTTCAAGGTTTTATTGCTGAAGCTTAACTGAACATGGTAAGGTTAGAAGCTGATTGGCTACCATGCACAGGTGCCCAAGATTCTGAGTCAACAAGGTTTAGTAAATAAACCCCTTAGTGTCTAAAAAAAAAACGTGCAACGCTACTTCTTGTGTGAACTAATTAAGTAAATCATGCACAAGAAATTTAGTAAAACAAAACTAAAATAAATCCCAGAATATTCAAATATTCTTACAAATTTCCTAATCAAGATCATAGAATTATGCACAAGTGCAGTCCACATGACCAAAGTGCCCATATAGATAAATGTAACAAAGTCCAAAACGTAAAATATGTGCCCAAATCAAACAAGCCAGATCCTCTACCAAGTGCCAACCAAACTGGTCACCTCCTCTGTAGACCTCCTAATGTCATAGGAGGTCTAACCATGTATTACTGAGATCCCAGGCAATAATCCATCTTCTGATACAAGCATCATGTCACCTCCGTACATCAAGGGTCAAAAGGAGAGATCCTCATGCAGCAAGGCCTCCAGTCTAACTGAAAGCTGTTCATCACCAATGGAAGAGATGGGCCAGAAACCCTAGTGGTCCTGGTTTACTTTGCTGCAAGATGTTTCCAGATTGCAGCCCTCAGGACTGCCCCCCTTAGGGGTAGCTGGAACTGAACATCTACAGAGTGAAGACGGTACATGAAATGCTATGCAGAAAAGTAGTCATTCCAGGCAGAGGTCATGGGTAGGCAAGAGGGCAACAGAGAGAACAGCAACAAGAAAGGCAATCAGGAAGTAGATTAGCATGCGGCAGAACCTCAGTAATGCATGGTTGGACCCCCTGTAAAATTAACAGGTCTACAGAGGAGGTGAGCAGTATGGCTGGCACTTGGTGGAAGATCTGGCACCTGTGATTTTACTTTGACGTTTAGGGTTTGGAGTTTGTGACATATTTATTTAGGCACTTTGAACATTTGGATTGCAATTGTACATAATTCTATGATCTGAATTAAGTAATCTGTGAGAATATTTAAAAATTGTTAGTTTTTTTTCACTTTGATTACCGTATATACTCGAGTATAAGCCGACCCGAATATAAGCCGAGGTACCTAATTTTACACAAAAAACTGGGAAAAACTATTGACTCGAGTATAAGCCGAGGGTGGGAACACCAGTGGGAAGAATCGTGCCTCATCATTGGTGTCAGTGGGAGGAATAGTGCCCCATCATTGGTGTCAGTGGGAGGAATAGCGCCCCATCATTGGTGTCAGTGGGAGGAATAGCGCCCCATCATTGGTGTCAGTGGGAGGAATAGCGCCCCATCATTGGTGTCAGTGGGAGGAATAGCGCCCCATCATTGGTGTCAGTGGGAGGAATAGCGCCCCATCATTGGTGTCAGTGGGAGGAATAGCGCCCCATCATTGGTGTCAGTGGGAGGAATAGCGCCCCATCATTAGTATCAGTGGGAGGAATAGCGCCCCATTATTGGTGTCAGTGGAATAGCGCCGCATTATTGGTGTCGGAGGAATAGCGTCCCATCGTTGGTGTCAGTGGAGGAATAGCGTCCCATCGTTGGTGTCAGTGGAGGAATAGCGTCCCATCGTTGGTGTCAGTGGAGGAATAGCGTCCCATCGTTGGTGTCAGTGGAGGAATAGCGTCCCATCGTTGGTGTCAGTGGAGGAATAGTGTCCCATCGTTGGTGTCAGTGGAGGAATAGTGTCCCATCGTTGGTGTCAGTGGGGGGTGGAGGAATAGTGTCCCATCGTTGGTGTCAGTGGGGGGGGGTGGGAATAGCGTCCCATCGTTGGTGTCAGTGGGGGGGGTGGGATAGCGCCCCATCATTGGTGTCAGTGGGGGGGTGGGATAGTGCGTCCCATCATTGGTGTCAGTGGGGGGGGGGGTGGGATAGTGCCCCATCATTGGTGTCAGTGGGGGGGGTGGGATAGTGCCCCATCATTGGTGTCAGTGGGGGGGGGTGGGATAGTGCCCCATCATTGGTGTCAGTGGGGGGGGGTGGGATAGTGCCCCATCATTGGTGTCAGTGGGGGGGTGGGATAGTGCCCCATCATTGGTGTCAGTGGGGGGGGGTGGGATAGTGCCCCATCATTGGTGTCAGTGGGGGGGGTGGGATAGTGCCCCATCATTGGTGTCAGTGGGGGGGGGGTGGGATAGTGCCCCATCATTGGTGTCAGTGGGGGGGGTGGGATAGTGCCCCATCATTGGTGTCAGTGGGGGGGGTGGGATAGTGCCCATCATTGGTGTCAGTGGGGGGGGTGGGATAGTGCCCCATCATTGGTGTCAGTGGGGGGGTGGGATAGTGCCCCATCATTGGTGTCAGTGGGGGGTGGGATAGTGCCCCATCATTGGTGTCAGTGGGGGGGTGGGATAGTGCCCCATCATTGGTGTCAGTGGGGGGGTGGGATAGTGCCCCATCATTGGTGTCAGTGGGGGGGTGGGATAGTGCCCCATCATTGGTGTCAGTGGGGGGGTGGGATAGTGCCCCATCATTGGTGTCAGTGGGGGGGTGGGGGGGGGGGAGGAATAGTGCCCAATCGTTGGTGTCAGTGGGGGGGGGGAAAAGTGCCCCATCGTTGGTGTCAGTGGGAGGAATAATGCCCCATCATTGGTATCAGTGACACCAATGATGGGGCACTATTCCTCCCACTGACACTTGCTGACCCCTGTTCCAGTACGGTGCTGCTGCAGCCAGCATATGTGGTTGCAGCAGCACCTAAGCACGGTACACTTACCTGCATCTCCTTCACTCGATTTTCGCGGGCCGCTCAGCTCCGCCTCCTCGCCAGTGATTGGCCGCCTGTGTGCCTTTCCTGAGCTACAGTTCTGGCGGCCAATCACCGGTGATAAGGCGGAGCCGAGCAGCCGCGCGAACATCCAGTGGACGAACCGAATCCGAATGAAGGAGCAGCCGCGCTTCCTGGACCGGATCGTCGTGGGACCGGAGCCAGGTAAGAGACAGCAGCCCCCTGCCCACCCCTGTACTTACCGTAGTTTCCCTTCTGTTGGAAGGGGGGGGGGGGAGCCATCTGCAGACGTTGACTCGAGTATAAGCCGAGGGGGCCGTTTTTCAGCACAAAAAATGTGCTGAAAAACTCGGCTTATACTCGAGTATATACGGTATATTAATTTCTTGTGCATGATTCACTTAAAGTGTTCTTAAATTCAGGACCCTGCATTCACTATATGTCATCTCCCACAGTACACACTACATGGAAATGCAATTATTTTAGTAAATATAAACTGCTAAATACCTTTTCTCATCAGCAGTTGTAGCAGTCTTGTGACTTCTATCAGTGTTCAGCAGAGCACTGGTCAAAGCACATAGGAGAAGTTTTCTTTCTGCTCTAGGAGGATGCAGAACCCCTGACCACTGTCTGCACAGTGCTGATCACATGCACTCTCCCAAGAAAAAAAAAAAACACTCTAGCAATACACACCAAACTGAGCATGTGCAGTGTGTCTCCATACAATATGTCTTATCAGGAGATAAGAGGGGGGACACTGGAAAAAGGGGAGAAGTCAGAAAAAAAATTAAAAAAGAAAAAAGCGCCATTTACAAAAAAACACCAAAGTGTCAGCAGCATATCCCACCCAAAATAAATTTTGGCAACAATAATCCTAATTAAAAAGGTATGCGCTAATAACAAACTTATACAAAGGTGTATATCATCATCCAAAAAAACATTTAGTGTTTTAAATAAATAATTATAGTGACCAAACATAAATTAGTGTCCAAAAATATATATATTTAGTGTCCAAAAAAAAATATATATATAGATCTTCAGTGACTTGAACCAATTGTGAAAAATCCACCACCAAAGGAGATTAAATGAACTCACCAGAGCTAATGGCTGGTCAGATTATAAACCAGCAACAGCACTTGTGCTCTGGGAGCAATGAACCCGATGTCCAAATAGATATGGTGATGTTTCAGATACTTCCAGATAGTAATAATCACAGACAAACAACTTTGCAGCCCAAGCTCTTATGATGAACTTCTCCACTCTCTCATATCTCCATGAGAGCATACAGTACACTCAGGGACAAAAAAAGAGAACATAATGGTGCAATACGTTTTTTCATTTATTTCTTTAATAAAAAAAGGTATAAGGAAACTCACAAACAAGGTGTCCAACAGACACCAGCTTCAATCGCAAAAAAGGTGAGATACAATTACCGCTCACCGCGGATCTCCTTTGGTGGTGGATTTTTCATAATTGGTTCAAGTCACTGAAGATCTATATATATATATATTTTTTTTTGGACACTAATATATATTTTTTTGGACACTAATTTATGTTTGGTCACTATAAGTATTTATTTAAAACACTAAAAATGTTTTTTTGGATGATGATATACACCTTTGTATAAGTTTGTTATTAGTGCATACCTTTTTAATTAGGATGATTGTGGGTATAGTAACACTGTAATTTTTTCACACAAAAAATTAGGACTTTGCAAAATATGCAGTACTTGTGAATGCCAATCCAGGCTGAGTCTGTGCTTGCTTGAGACTGTCAGGTATCATAAGTTGCCAAGACTCTTGTCCCAACTCTCATCTTTCATAATCAAAGAATGCAAAAAAAGCCTTTGTTATACAATATAAAGAAGAAGTAAAAGCAATTAAAATTAAAAGCAAAACCTTTTTCTTTTTTGTTACAACCCTCCTTTACTCTTTGAAGATACTAGTTCTAGTTGACACCAGAACTAGTGTCCCTGCTGAAAGATTTTCCACCTTGTTCTGTTGGCAACTCTCCATTCTATCCAAAATGAAAACAAAAAAAAACAAAAAACAATTTCCTCTAGTTATACTTTAAAAGTATATGTCCTCCGCTCTAATGGCTTTCCTCCAAATGGTTTATGCATAGGGAACCATTTAATGATTAAAGGCTTTTGAAAGTGTGTGTAAGTGTGTTATATATATATATATATATATGTTGTGAGGGATTAGCCCAGTAAAGCGGATGGGTCAGAACACCGTGAAAGAGGCTCAGCACGACAACAGGTACTTGGTGAAAAGTTGTGCTTTATTTACAAAGTCTGGTGAACACACGGTACATATGGTCAAAACAGCAAAAAAATACAAACAGAAAATAAAACCTTGCCACACTGGGCATCTAACTGCAAACACAGCTGTCTGAATACAGCCTACCGCTGCTCAGACACGGGATGTTCACACAGTGTAAGATCACACAGAATTATCTCTCACCATAGGATGGTTTGGTTGCTCCCCAGTCTGCCCTGCAAATCAAACTGGTTCCAGGTTGGAGCATTCTCTCTATGCAACCTGGGAGTCTTATAGAGCCCAGAGCCCTTAACTCACTACACCTGAACTCATTAAATCATCAGCGAGCCAGACAGGCTCACTACACAGCCCCAAAGGAGAAACAGTCAGTGTATAACATGAACCTGGGACAAACATACCCCCCATCCTGGACACATCCCCTAGTTCTTCCTGACCTGTCACACCTGTCACATACCCCCCCTCATTTCAACCCTGGGGTTGGAACACAGGTTGCTAAGCATGCGTGTACTTGGGACAGTGCATCTGCATTCCCCATTCTAACACCAGGGCGATGTTTTATGACAAAACTAAATTCTTGAAGGACCAGGAACCACCTATTCACTCTCCTATTGGTTTCTTTGTTTTGTGCTGTCCATTTTAGGGGAGCATGATCGGTTACCAGTTCAAACTGTCTTTCCAAGAGATAGTACTGGAGAGAATCTAGAGCCCACTTTATTGCTAAGCACTCTCTCAATGGTGGCATAATTCTCTTCATGGGGCTTTAATTTCCAGCTGAGGTAAATGACGGGGTGTTCTTCCCCCTTGAAAACCTGAGACAACACAGCTCCTAACCCATCATCTGAGGCATCGGTCTGGACCACAAAGTCCCTCAAAAAAATCTAGGGAGTACAACACTGGCTGTCTACATAAGGCCAGTTTTAAGGCCTCAAAAGCTGCTTCTGCTTCAGGGGTCTATTTGACCATGACAGACTCCTTCCCTTTTGTCAAACTGGTCAGGGGAGCAGCCTGTGAAGCAAAATGAGGAATAAACCACAGGTAATAACCAGCAATTCCCAAAAACACTCGTACCTGCTTCTTGTTGGTGGGGCGTGGCCAGCTTTGTATAGCTCCAGCTTTGTTGACCTGGGGCTTTATCAGACCTCTCCCAATGGTATATCCCAGATACTTGGCTTCCTCTAGCCCAATGGTACATTTGTTTGGATTGGCTGTAAACCCTGCTTTCCAGATAGAGTCTAATACTGCCTGGACTTTCGGTAAACGTGAGTCCCAATCTTCACTATGGATGATCCCATCATCCAAGTATGCCGCAGCATAGGCTCTATGGGGCCAGAGGGTCTTATCCATCACCCGTTGAAATGTGGCAGAAGCATTCCACAACCCAAACGGCATCCTCCAATACTGGAAAGAACCCTCTGGAGTTACAAAGGCAGTCTTTTCCTTGGCCGATTCTGAAAGAGGAATCTGCCAATACCCTTTGGTCAGGTCCAGTGTTGTCATATACCGGGCTGGCCCTAGACGATCAATCAGTTAGTCTATACATGGCATGGGATAGGTGTCAAACTTTGCGACTTTATTCAGTTGGCGAAAGTCATTACAAAACCGCCAACTTCCATCTGGTTTGGGCACTAGCAAATAGGACTGGACAAGTCACTGTTTGACTCCTCTATAACCCCCAGTTCAAGCATATTTTTTATTTCTTGGCGAATTGCCTCTCGCCAAGCTTCTGGAATACGATAGGGTTTTAACTTGACCCTTTCCCCTGGGGAGTTAATAATGTCATGCTCAATCCCAGACACCCACCCAGGAAATGCTGAGAATTTCTTTGTTGCGGAGCACAAACTCTCTAGCTTCCTGTTGCTGCATTTTTGATAGAGTCTCCGCTACCCTTACCTCTGGGATTTCCAAGATAGGTGGAGCACGAATCTGGGAAGTTTCAGCGTCCAAGGATTCCCTATCCTTCCAGGGTTTTAGCAAATTCACATGGTACACTTGCTCAGGTTTTCGCCTTTCTGGTTGGCCAATTTTATAATTCACGTCCCCCATTTTTTCTAACACTTCATATGGGCCATGCCATTTGGCCAGGAATTTACTTTCGGCCGTGGGGACCAACACCCTATCCCCAGGTGAAAAAGAACGGATCGGAGCTCCACGGTTGTAAATTCTTTGTTGAGCCAACTGGGCTTGAGCCATATGTTCCTTCACAATAGGCATTACCTGTGTAATTCTGTCTTGCATTTGGGCCACATGTTCAATTAAACTTCTATGAGGGGAACTCTCGCTCTCCCATGTTTGCCTCGCAATGTCCAATAGCCCCCGTGGGTGTCTCCCATACAACAGCTCAAAGGGAGAGAACCCCGTGGACGATTGGGGAACCTGTCAGGATTGCAAACATTAAATACGGTAGTAGACAATCCCAATTTTTCCCGTCTTTATCAACCACCTTCTTCAGCAT